GCAGTGCCACCACCTCCAGCAGCCGCAGTGCCACCACCACCAGCAGCCGCAGTACCGCCCCCACGACCACCAGCAGCCGCAGTGCCACCACCTCCAGCAGCCGCAGTGCCGCGACCACCACCGCCGATAGCTCTTTGTGCGAGTTCTTTTCTTCCAGTGGGGTCTGTGCCGCCCGGAACAACATCCCAGGTGACAGGAGCAGCACATTTCGCACAGGTATCAACCGATTCATCTCTGCCAGCTGGTATCGGAGTCCCGCCTCAGCGAGTTATAAGTGAGGAAGCACGACGCCGTCTAGAGGAGGCTGCATTGCAGGAATTTACAAGCGCTGCAGGTGATCATTACTTGAATCTGGACGAAGTAGTGCGAGACACCATTTGCAAGCTATTCTTTTTGAGTAATTATGACGTGGGTACAATGATGGCTTCTATGGTGAGGAGCCTGCACTGTTTGGGTCGGTACGATGTTGGTCTACTCCGTAATGATGACAGCACTGCCTTTACAGTCATCCAATCTCCCCCGTTCAACGAGGCTGTCGTGACGGACGAAACTCAACGTGCTGAAACGCGTCGTAGCGCCATTAAGGCGGCCAAGAGTCGGATAGAAAGCGCAGACAGTCGCTCTAGGTCTAGGTTTCTCGCTGTTGCCCATGCCGGAAAGAAGCCGAAGGCGCAACCAGACCGTGAACCTGCGATGGAGGTTCGCAAGGGGGCGGCAGCGGAAACGGTGGCCTCTTGCAAGACGTCGTACGAGCAAATACAAGACTTGCTACGGGCCTACCGTGCGAATAGAGCAGGGAGGGGAAGAAGTGCATCGGCGGGCCCACGAGCTCCGCAAGCTGCATCACCGGAGAGTGGCGGGTACTTTCTGCGGCGGTACGGTGGGAAGTACCCCAAGGAGAATTACTACGCCCATTACCGTCTGTACGGCCTGAAGAAGTAGCAAGGAGGATGACACTTCAGGTGGGCTCGCAGGGCAGAACTGCAATGAATAGAGGCAAGCAACAGCAGCTTTCCATTTTGGAGGCATGACACCGAACAGGAAAAGATAAAATAAAAATTGGATTCTGGTTGACGCTGGCGAAAGCGAAATATATATATTTGGGGGAATGCGCGTGTGCTCTCCGACCAAGCGCTGAGCGTCTCTCGCTTCGGATGTCAACTGGCCGACATCTGCGCCGGATTTGTTTTTTTTTTATTCTTTTTCTAGCGCGTTGTGCTAAGCTGCAGTTGACAAACGAATTACATTGATGCGTGTTTGAGTTGCCATGGGAGAGTCCTTTGTCTCGCGCATTGGTACTTACCCGGCACGATGGCCAACACGCCTCCGTATTATTGGTGAGGGGGTGGGGGCGATAATAAACTGATGACAAAGTGACCTAAACCCTCTTTGCCCCCGTGGATGCGTGGCATGCTTTTGGTTTCATGTATGCGTGCAAATGCTCATACGTATTGTGTGCGCCGACGAGTTCCTTCTGTGGAACTCTCAACTTGTTGTGATGAACGGTGGGCGGTGGGCGCATCCTTCTTGCTTCTTTGCTTGTGTCGGGGAAGGAGTGGTGGAAGAGATGTGGAATTAATAAAATGTCTGCTGTTTTTGTTTCTTGTGCGATGCGCATGCCTCATTGTCGCTTCTGGTAAGGGTAGTGAGTGCTTCCTGTATGCGAAGGGCAAGCCAGTAGGCATACACGCACTGTGGAAAAGTAATACAACCACTTAGGAATAAGGCGTCGAAGGGTGTAGCGGACCTGCAAACAACACGCGCAGGTAATAAAAACAAGGAAGATAAACAGTGGGGGGGGTCGTTGAGGCTAGTGCTAACTTCTGCTTTCAACAGCGATGGTGCGACGGAAGGTCATTATCGACACGGACTGTGGAGGCGATGATGCCATTGGAATCATGGCCGCCATGACGCACCCTGACGTAGAGGTTCTGGCCATTCTGGCCGTCTGGGGGAACGTGGATGTGGATCAGGGGATGGAGAATCTTGGAAAACTGCTTGACCTCTACGGGCGGGACATTCCCTTTTACCGTGGCGCCGATGGGCCACTTGTGACTGATCGTGAAACGGTACAGTGGGGAGGGTTTGGCCGGGATGGCTTTGGCGACGCTGGGTTTCCTCCGTCGGCGCGGGTGTCAGCGCAGCCCAAGAAGCACGCCGCTCTGGCCCTTGCAGATATTCTTAGGGATGCCAAACCCAAGGAGGATGAGGTGTACCAGCTGGTGTGCATTGGGCCCTTGACGAACATAGCTCTTGCTATCCGCCTAGACCCGGGTGCTTTCTCGGTGCTTGGCTCCGACACGGAACCCGGAGTGACGATTATGGGTGGTACAAGTGAGGGGAAAGGCAACTCGAACTTGATGGGGGAGTTCAACTTTCACTGCGACCCTGAGGCGGCGTTTGTTGTGTTTCACCACAAGGGCATCCAGCAGCCCATACAGCTGGTGAGCTGGGAGGTGACGGTGAACTGTGCCATGCCGTGGAGGTTTTACGATGATTGGGTGAACCGGTGCGAGACTTCAGAGGGATTCAGGTCGGTGTGCCAAAACAGATCCCAGATGTTCATTGAAAGAATGTTTCAGCGCCTGGAGTGCTTCACGCGGCCTGACGGGGATGGAACACGAGCTGACACTGGCGACGCCGAGGCAACGCAGGACGTCACCTGCGTCATACCAGATGCGGTGGCGATGCTTGTGGCGCTCTACCCAGAGAGTCTGCAGGACAGCTTCCTCACGTACGTCACAATTGAGATGCGGGGGCGGGAAACTCGTGGGGCGACGTGTATCGATTGGTACGGCACAGACCAATCCATGGCGAAGAAGGGCCGCTGGCGCAACTGCAGCGTCGTCACGAAAGTGAACCCTGATATATTCCTGGATGTCATGCGGCGAATAGTTGATTACCCCCTATAGGCGCTGCGTCAACCACGTACATCATGGCGGCTCCTTTGGCGTGACGGTGCACAGCACCTTTACGGGCAGGGGAAGAAGAAAAGGGGAAGAGGGGGCAGAGGACGAATATGAGAAATAAAGAAAGAGAAAAAAAAAGAAACGAGGCGGAGAAACGAGGCTGGCGAAGTAGAGATGAAGGCCCAAGGACACTCATCATGCGTGAAATGTGTTCTGCCGGAAATGAGGACCATCAGAGGCAGAGAGCGAGGTGCGGGGGTCCCATGCTACGGAGGAAGCCTGGCAGGCAGAGGCACTTAATCTCCCCTTGTCTTCACAAGGAAGAATAGGAAAAATAAAAAATAAATAAACAAATAAAGAGAAAAGAAACTACGGCGCGAGTGCGTAGAGAGGAAAGAGGGAAGGCGGGGGAGGGGGAGGGGGTGGGGCCGTTGTGCAGGGAATGCGTCTGCCTGATTGTTTCACGCTCAATCTGCGCCAATGTATGTATGCATGTATGTATCATCTATATATCAGTGTCTGCCCCTTGAAGTTATCCTCCTGCTCGAGTCTGCTTGGTATGTTGCTGTAAAAGCAAAAAAGGAAACGGGAAGGAGCAAAGAAACACACAGACGAAGAACATGATAAAAATACGCGAAAAAGAAAAAAAAAGACAAAAAAAAAGAAGACAAATAGGGAAAAACAAAAAAAAACAAAAAATAGTTTATTCGGCGAGAGACGCTGACAGTGGTTGTCTTTTCCTCTGCCGTCTTTCGTTGCGTTACTGATGGTGTTTCTAGCATTACCAGGTGCTTGTAGTTGGTTAACGGAAGTGGTTGCTTTATTTATTCTTCCCCACGTGTGGCCCATGTGGCTTCTCTTGTTGCCTTCCTCCTCTTTGGTGTTGAGTTGTTGCTGTCGTTTCGTTATTTTATTTTGTTGTTTGCGTATGTGTAGGGGGTTGCGCGGGAGGTGGAGGTGGGAGGAGGGCCTCGCTCCCGCTATTTTCATCTCTTTTTTATTTTTCTTTCTGTCGGTTGTCCTTCACACCTTTTCTATCGCCGCGCCCCGTCCCAAAGCAATCCTTCTCCCCTTCTTCGCTCCGCCTTCATGGAGGGTTTCTTTTTACACTTGTCGGCCCATATACCTCGGGTATTGTGTACATCCCCGCCGCGCGTTGTGGGGGGCAGTTTGTGGCACTGTTGCCCCGTGGCGGGTGGAGGAGGTGCGTTTGGGGAGTCGCTTGTGTTTTCCCCCATGCCTCTCTGAAGGCAGGCGCTTCTGTGCTCAAGTGAAGGCCGCACGACTGTAGCGCATGCTTTTGTGGCCTTTTGTTTTCTACTCCACCGTCCCTCCTCATTCCACACTGTCCTTTGCTTGCTTGTTTTTTGTTTTTTTTTTTTTTTTTTTTAGGAGTTTTACGTTTGGTTACCTGTACGTTGAGAACTTTACGATGTCTGTGGAGGAGGAGGTGCGGGTGCATGCACATGAGGCAAGAAGAATTAAAAAAGAAAAAAAAGGGTGCCTGTGACGCTTACCTGCTCTCACTCTGCAGCCTCTACTTCTCTCTCTCTCCCTCTCCCACTTTGTGTACACGGGCATGTGGTGGACTTTGTGCTTGTCGCCTCTTGCCACATGCACACAACAAAAAAAAAACAAGCAGGGAAATGTCAGTCTTCGAGGCGCGACAGAAGGTGTATGCAACGCTGCACGGGACCTTCCACGCCGCGATTGTGCAGGAGGTGTCCTTGGACGCTGAGACAGGCCAGTACCTGTACTATGTGCACTACGTTGAGCAGGACAGCCGCATGGACCGCTGGCTGCCCGCCAGCGAGCTGAAGGAGAGGCGGCAGGGGCGTCAGGCGAGCAAGCAGCAGGTGAACAAACCAAGCGGTGGCGGTGTCACGACGCGAGGGCAGAGCCGACTTGTTGCAGAGGAGGACGACGAGCTCCCGCGGAGCCCCGCCACGCCGACCTCCTCCGCCAAACGCAATAACCTGCAGAATTGCGTCAAGGTGTCAACAACGCGGGCACGGAAGGACAGCTCATTTTTCTCCCGGCCTAAGAATATTCACAAAATATGCATGGGGCCCCATGAAGTGGATGCGTGGTACTTTTCTCCCTACCACCTCGCCCGACCCCAGGTGCAGGAGGGACTAAAGCAGAATGCGGAGCTCTTTGCGGGAAACCTGGAGCTTCGGCTACGCCAGGAAAATGACAAGAGTTCATTTCGGGCCGCCGCCGCTCTCACGTCGTTTGTGCTTCATATCTGCCCCTTCTGTCTTCACCCCTTTACGGCACACGAGGACGTGGTGCGACATCTGCGGCTTGTGTGTCAACGATACCCGCCAGGGAACGAGATTTACCGCGATCCTGTGCGCCAGCTCGTCGTGCTCGAGATGGACGCGGTGGTGGAGCCCGTCTTTTGCGAGCATTTAGCTCTTCTTTCCAAGCTGTTTCTAGAGCACAAGGCGCTCGATCATGACATGACACCATTTCTATTCTACGTGTTGTGCGCCGTGCAGCCGCACGGGCTGGAGGTGCTGGGGTACTTTAGCAAAGAAAAACATTCGCCGGAGATGTATAACCTTTCTTGTGTTCTTGTGCTGCCGCAGTTCCAGAGTCGCGGCATTGGACGGTTTCTGATTGAGTTGAGCTACGAACTGTCGCGGCGGGAGGGCAAGATTGGCTCCCCCGAGAAGCCGCTAAGTGACCTGGGGGAAAAGCTCTATTTAGGATACTGGGGAGATGTCGTGGTCTCCGCACTCGCCCGCGCCATGGAGGAGAACCACTGCGCCACGCTCGACTACCTTGTGCAGGCCACGTATATTTCGCAGTCGGATGTCCTGCGGACGCTGCAATACCTGCGTCTGCTAAGCGGAACGCAGATTGTTGTGTCGGAAGACAGCATTGAGCGCTGCTACTCCAGACGGCTGCAGCGTGAGCGGAGTGGGCATAATTATGTCTTCTACCCCCACTTACTGAGCTGGAGTCCGCACATGTACTACGAGCTGAAGGAGCAGGACATCACCCCACCGATTTACGTGACACAGAGCGAGGAGTTGGAAGGGAATGCCGCAAGCAAACGACAGCATGTTTTCTAGTGCCTCGCGTTGTCCGGTCCCCGTATATACATATATATATGGTGTGCTTCCCCTTTGCGGCTTGTGGTTTTCCTTTGCAGACACATCTGCGCTGTGTGTTGGTTGTGGCCCTCTGTCTCTTCTTATTCAGTTGCCTGCAGCAGCAGAACGGAAAAAACGAATAAATCTCCACAACGACTGTCATCCGCTCCCGAGAATCTATTTGGTGTTTCCCCTTCGTTTGTGTTGTGCCATTTCCTGCGTGTGGAGGGGGTTTTTGGCCTCGTTGCAGTTTCTTATTATTATTATTAAAGTAGAAACAAAAGAAAAAAAAAGCAAAGAAACGACATGCGGCGCATCGCCTTTATTTTTCCGACCCTCAGTCGCGTGGCCGCAGGCCGCGGCGGCGCTACCACCACCACCACCACCACCACCAAGCCCGGCAGTAGCAGCAGCAGCAACCTCAAGCTGGAAGAGTTGGCCGGGGCGTACTCGCAACTGACGCTGAAGGAGCTCTCTGAGCTGCAGCGGCTGATCTTCAAGAAACTCGGACACACTGACGAGTTCTACGAGAAAGCCCTTTTGCGCGGCCTCGGTGGCGGCGGTGTTGGCGGCGGCGTTATGATGCCAGCGCACGCCGCGGCGGCGATGGCAGCAGCGGCGCCGGGGGCGGGGGCTGCAGCGGCCGAGGAGCCCTCGAAGACGGAGAAGAAAAAGGTGGAGAAGTCCACGTACGACGTCAAGCTGGCGAAGTTTACGCCGGACATTAAGGTAAAGCTAATCAAGGAGCTCCGCTCCGTCACCAGTCTTTCCATCTCGGACGCGAAGAGCGCCATCGAAAAGTGCCCGGGGCTGGTTCAGACAAACATGCGGAAGGAGGATGCGGAGAAGCTCAAGGGGCTCTTCGAGAAGCTCGGTGCCACGGTGGAACTCATTTAGACGGCGCAGCCCCCTCCCCCTTATTCCCCCGAGCCAAATGATGCGGATGATGATTTCATAGCGGAATTGCACGGAGAAACGGAGTGCGTGCGGAACAGAATTATGAACGCCTCTTCTCCACTTCCTCTTGATGCTGCGGGTAGTGCGTGAGGGCGTCGTGGTTTTCTTATTGTTGGGACGTTTTTGGTTTCTTATTTTTCATTTACTACACACACACACACACAGACACACACACCGCCTCTTTTTCTCTTGGTTTCCTTGTTTTCTTGTTGTTGTTTTCTGTGTCTTTCGTGGTATGACGCTATCTGCAGTCGAGGGACGGAGGCAGAAAAAGGAAGAAAAAAGGGTGTGTGTTGTGTGTGGGTGTGTTGCGTGCGGAAGCATGCGGGACGACAACGTCATCAGCGTCACCGGCCGTCGCATCAACCCGGACGATGGTGCGGTGGAGTACAGCGTGCAGTGGGCAGGGTACGACAACGTATGCGACACATGGGAGCCTCGCTGCCACCTCCTCGCCTGTTGTGCCGGCCTTGTCGGCGAGGTGGACGCACGCGAGGAGACCGCGGCGTTGCAGCGCATCGCGTCGTGGGCACAGCGAGGTGAGGGGTGGAAACGTGCGCGAGACGCAAGTCCCGTGTCGGAGGTGGACCCGCCGCTGTACGGCATCATCGTGCACAGCGGCGCCGAGGATGGGGCGAAGAGCAGGGGGTCGCTCGTGGCCCTCGGTGAGCGTGTCTTGGCGGACGCCACCTCGCTTGATCTGAACCCAACGAAGAAGAAGCGGCTGCAGGGTCAAGGCGAGCATGACCCCGCGTGCGACCCGGCGCTGCAGTTGGAAAAGTGCTGGCGGGAACAACACGCCGTGAGTTTCATGCACACCTGCGCCGTTGCTGCCCGTCGCACGCCGGCACCGATGCAGTTCGAGTTGGGCGCAGGCACCGATAAGTGTCGTGACGCATCGAAAATAAAAATATATGGCATTGCGCCCGCCGCGCTCGTGCGAAGCGGCCAAATGCACGACACCGTCACGAGTTGCGGGCCTCCTAGTGGCCGCTCAGAGGCGGAGCACCTCCACCGTCAGTGCAACTTCGACGGCGCGCTCGCACACACTGCGCAAACGCCTTTGCTCGGCAAGCGCGAACAACTTGTCGTGCGGTATTTTCTCATGAAAAACAATGACGGGCAGGAGCAGACGCCGCTGACGATGCCGCTGTCCGTTTTCCGTCGATATTACCCACAGTTGTTGCTGGACTTCCTGCTGCACCACGCGCTCGTCATGGAGTCTGCGTAGCGCAGATAGTGAGCTGCGGGCCCTGTAGCAGTAGGTGGTGGTGGTGTTGGTGTGGTGCTTGGAATTTGTGTGGCGAACCACCAGTTGTTGCTCTTACAGTTCGACTGTTTTCGCTTGGGTGTGTTTGTTAGCTTCCTTCTGTCCTCCTCGTCTCACTACTACTACTACTACTACTATTATCATCCCCGCGCCCACTCTCTTGCTTCGACGACGGGAGGAAAGAAGGAGGAAGTTATTTGTGGTGCGTCTGTGCGGTTACTGTGCTCGGCCTCGTCTCTCTCATGCCGCGGCTTCTGACTTTTGCGAACGGTGTGCAGTCACGCGGGGAGGGTTTCATCAAATCCCCGGCCTCCGGGATGTGGCAGTGCACCCTGCTGTCCGGCCCTCTGCCGCAGGAGTGCGGAGATCACGAGGCCTCCGCTTCTGCTCTTTGTGCCGCCGCGGAGACGGCGTGGATGGGGCCGCAGCCACAGCAGCAGCAGCGACAGCGGCGGGGGAAGAAGGAGGATGCCATTCTGCTGCACCCGCGCTCGTCGCTTTTGCCGCTGCAGTTTCAGCTGATATCTGTCAGCAGCAAGTACCTCTGCAGCCTTCTCGTCAACGCCCGCCCGCATCCGTTGAGTGAGGTCCACATCTTTCGCCTAGACAAAATAAAGCCCGGCACCAAGCTCCCTGACACTGTCACTGTCGCCTTTGCCTCGGCGACGGAGGCCACATGGGCGGATCTGCTGTTGTTTATGCAACAGGCAGCAGGCATCGGCGGTGCTGGCGAGGCCACCCACACGGCGGTGTGGCGGCTGAATTGGGTGGCCCCCGCAGAGAGCGGCATCAGCGTCGGTGCCGCGTTCCTTTGGCGTGTCACGGAGGCGCTGCCGCTCTGTGGTCGCGTCCAGGACGCCGCTACAGAGGCAAATGAGGAGGCGACGATGCATATTGCGGTGGTAACAGCGAAGGAAGGGGCGGTTTACACCCCACCAGGCCGCGCCGTCCCCATGTCTGAGGGGCCGCCGCCGCTTCCGCCGAAGCAAACCCACAGAGAGACGTCTCCGGATGGCCTGCCACAGCGTGATTTGTCAGCGGCGTTTATGGAGGCCCAACGGGAAGCGGAGGTTTCCACAGCGTCTGCAGAAGATGAATCGATGCAGGAGGTAAAGAGCAACCCGCAGCCAACCTATGCAGAGATCCTTGTGCGTGGAATTCGGCAACGCCGCGCTGACGCGACGACGTCTGCGGAGCAAGCCGTACGTGAGTGGCGGCAGCGCCTCATCACTCTACGGAAGCAGCTTTACCGCGGCCTCTGCATGAATACAGCACCACGCATTGCGAGGGATCAGATATCACTACTACAAAAAGAGGAACAGCAACCATGTCATTCGACTGGTGCGAAAGTCATGGCGCTTCTACTGAAGACTGGTATGCAGGAGATGCTGTGCGATGTGCTGTTTGACGCAGCCGCATGTTTATTGATGGGAGGAGAGAGGTCGCGCGGTGCCAACCGGCTGCTGCAGGAATGTGCCACCACGGCCCGGACAGCTAGTGAAGAACTGGGGGAGCGGAAAGACAATGTGGTGGCGGCACTGCAGTTCTCGCACGGCATTTTGCAGCTGCGCCTGTTGCGTCATCGTTGCTACGCTGCGGCGTTGCTGGGGCAACCGGTGACAGCTGCGATGCTGCACGAGGCGTTGCGGGAGCAGAAGCAGGTGATGACGCTGCTGCAAGGGGAGTGCGCCGGCGCCGTGTGTCCTGGCGGCGCCGCGATTAATGTTGGGGATAACGACGACGACGACGACGGGGGCTCGGCTGGAAAGCAGCTTGCCGTCGGCGTTCTGACGGCGGCCCTCTCGCTCATGGAGATGTCTCTCCTCGTGAGGAAGTCTGGTGCGCTGTGCGACGATATGACGAGCGCTGCAGGGTCGCTGCTGTTGTGGCTGCGCGACACCTCCGGCGGCCCCTTTGAACTACCTGTCGCCCTTCTTGCGCAACTGGAGGAGAGAGTCGCGGCAAGCACCCGTGGGCGGCTGCATGGCATGCATCGGCGATGCAAGGTTTGTCCCGCCGCGCGAGGGAGCAGAGATCGTGGGAAGACGGAGTTTTGTTGCGGTGTGGTGCGGGCTGTGCCGTGCAGCGCCGTCTTTGACCACCAGTTTGCTCGGACAAGGGCACTTATCCGGGTCCTTGAGGCCGCCACCGCGGCGAGAGGATCAGCCGGTGGCATGTGCGGCGGGTGATGGCGTATGCTTGCAATGCAGGGGCAGGCGGGCGTCAATGACGTCGTGTTCTCATTCCCTTCTTTCTTCTTTTTTTTTTTTTTGTTGTGTGTGTGTTTCTTGTGTTGTTTCTTCTTGTAGGCTGCATGGGAGGATTAGACGCGCCACTTCCATCCGCAGCACGCTGCTGCTGGCTAGAGAGGAGCCGGCACACACAGACTGTGTTACTTTACAGAAGAGAGAGGAAATGTGCATGGCGGCGTGAGACAGACAAATAGATGCGTGGGATTAACGTCACGTAATTTTTAATTCCTTTCTTTTGTTTTGTTCTGTTATTATTACTATTATTTAATTGGTTTATTAGCTTACTGTTGCTTTTATGGTTTGTTTGTACGTTTTCATCCTCGAGTGATGGAGGCGCGAAAAAGTAGGACTTCATCCACATATTCCTTAGATATATGTATGTATATATATATATATATATATATACATGTTGGGTGTTTTGCGGCTCACTGCCGTCGCTGCTCGCTGCTGAACTTATTTTCCCCTTCTTCTTCCGCTCTCTCTCTCTCTCTCTCCTTTCCTTGTCGCCACAGAGGTACCCAGCCAGCGACATCCAATTCACACAACCATGACGGACGCCATCGATGTGACCACGTACTGCGACGACAAGGCTCTCGGCCAGACCGCGCCGTCGCTTGCCAATCTCGAGCCCCTCCGCGGCGAGAAGGTGGCCCTCGAGCACGGCAAGGTGTACGTGCTGTACTTCTTCAACACCTTCTACCGCGGCGCCGACCCCGTCAACGAGGAGCTGACGGTTCTGTCAGAGAAGTACGGCGATAAGGTGGTCTTCGTCGCGATCAGCAACGATGCGGATAAGGAGAAGACGGAGAAGTACCTCAACAAGAACATCGTGGACGAGAACACAAAGAAGCCGCTGCGGCTTGCCCCGCCGCACATCCTCTTCGACGACAAGAAAGCGACCGGCAAGACGTACGCAGAGGTCTCGAACCTCACCGTCATGTCCTGTCCGATGGCCTTCATTGTGAAGGCCGACGGAACCATTGCGTGGAGGCAGCAGTTTCTGCAGACCTTCACCATCTCGCAATCCAACTTTGAGGCGCAGCTCAACCACGTACTGGCGGGCGAGGCGCTCGAAAGTAACGGCCCGCGGCCCGCTGTCCATATCGAGGAGGAGGCCGCTGAGGTCGAGGACGAGATGTCGCTTTTTTGAGCCCTTTGAAGAGGCAGTCGTCGTAACTAACACGGAACACAACAGCCGCGGCAGCGCGGGGAACGGCCAGATAAACCCGAGGTAAGAATGAGAGGTGGAACAAGAAAAAGAAAGAAGAAAGAAAAGGAAGAAAAGGAGGGGAAAAAAGAAGAAGAAAAAATTTTTTTTTTTTTACTTTGTGGCTTCACGCTTTTGTGAGCGGTGCTCTGCCCTCACAGAGCGGCATAAAGAAACGAAAAAAGTGAAAGGCGCTAAGGGAGCGAAATGAGATCTTTGGGCAGCAGCAGCAGCAGCAGCAGCAAGATTGTGCATGCACACACGCAGGCGCACAGTTCAGGTGGTTGTGCGGGCGCTTTTGTCTCCCTGTGGTTTTTCAGAAGTGTGTCTGCCTGCATGCCTGAAGTACACAGCTGCGTTTAAGTCGGTGTCTGCGTGCGTGCGTGCGTGCGTGTGCTTTTCTCTCAGATGTGTCCAGACAGGCACCACATTTAGACCCTGACAAGCGCTTTGCTTCGTGTTTCTCTGTTGTTGTTGTTGTTGTTTTCCCCCACGCACACGACAAGAAGAGGCAGAAGGAAAGAGAAGCAGCCGTATGAGATCCGCGCCGTCGGCGACAACAACAAGCGGGGAGGCACCAGTGGAGATCCTCCCCACCAGTGGGTTTGTGTTCCACGAGGTGGAGGAGCCCATGGAGCTGCTCTGCCCACCGAAGCTGCTGCCCATCAAGTCCTTCTCGCTGGAGCGGCTCGAGAAGCTCGAGAAGCGTGTGGTGGACGAGACCAACGCCAAGCGCACGCTTCGGCGGAAGCAACAGTTCACCCCCATGTGGAACACCGACGCGGCGCCGGTCAAAGAACCGCCCAGTGCATGATGAGGTGATGCCGCGGCATCGTTGCCCTCTCAGCTTGCCTTGTCCCCTCTCCCTCTCCTCCTTTTTCTCCCTCAATTTCTTCCGTTTTACTTGCGTGCATAGACACACGTGCGCACATGTCTCTCTGTGTGTGTCTGTGCGCATCACGGGACCAGGCATTTCTCTTTTCGTTTGCTTCTGCCACTTCCTCCTCCGCGCGTGCATGCACAACAACATGCATACACACTCTTTGCGAGCACTTTCATCCGTAGGAGGTGATAATGACGGGGGTTCTAGTCGCTGTCTTGTTCTCTCTGCGGCTCGATGTGGTTGCAGACCTGCAGGTGCGTGTACTTCTGGAGGAAGCACAAGCGCTGCGAGGGTGACACGCTACCGCCCGTACGGCACTGCGCAGCGTCCTCTTGTCGAGGAGCAGCTGCCCCTCCAAGCATGCGTCGAAGGTCAACAGTTTTGTGGCGGAGATGAACTCCGCGATCGACGCTTTCGTGCTGAGAAAGGAGCGGCTTTTTTTGGAACTTGACGGCCGCATGTCGCTGCAGTCAGACAAGTCGCGGGTGCGGCAGGAACTGTAGGCGCTGGAGGATGAGAGAAACACACACACCACGGCCGCACGAGAGGCAGAGCTCCGGATGGAGCGCGAGACGTTGCAGCTTCAACGCCTGTGTGAGGACTGTGAGGCGCGTGTGAATCGCATGCGCCTCTCCTCGGTAGAGCGAGCGGAGCGGGAGCCGTGTCGCCGTAAGCAGAAGTTGGAAAAAAAAAACGATAGCAACTGCGGGAACGTGGCGCCTTAGATGCACGTCTCGCTCCGCAAACTTGGTGCGTGGAGCAGTGCCGTAGCGATGCAGCGGTGAGGGTCGGCAGAGCGCCGCGAAAAAAAGAAGTCCACGGCTAGTGTCGAAATTGAACTAATAAGGAAGGCGCACAGCTTGCTTGTTGCGTAGCTGTGGGCAATCGACAAACACCTTGCAGCTTTGCAGAAACAGGTGCGGTGTTGCCTATTGACATACTCGCCGAAAGTGAAAACAGCGCTCGTAGGTGAAGGTGGGGCAACACTGAAGCAGTTGCAGGGTGAACTTTGGTGTCGCCGTCTGTATGGACGGGGTTGGCGTTGGCCGTGGCGTTGCTGTGGGTGGTGAGGCGGATGTTGTTGTGGCTACTGCAGCCATCGAGGAGATTGCCGCTGCGGAGGCGGCGTGCAATCGCAAGGTGGTTTTGCCGTACGATGCCACACTGCAGGCGCGTCTCATTGGCAAACGCGGTGCGAACGTCCACCGTATTGAATTGGCGAGTGGCGCCTGTTTGGACGTTGCACGGGGCGTAGTGACTTTGCGCGGGATGCAGGCGTCTGTGGCGGCGGTGCAGGAGTTAGTGGAACGCTTCCTCGGCAACCAGCACCGCGCGGAGCTGTATCGCGTCATTGGGTAGGAAGGAAGTGTCATCAGTCTACTGGAGAAGGAAACGGGCGTGTGTAGCCTTCGCGTGGGTCGCCCAGCACAGAAGATTGTTGCCGTCGAGGTGGTGATGTGGTGCTGCAAGGAGCTTCTTGTCGACACTGGCCAGCCGCGACTTGAGATACACGGCGACGAGGTTCCCACATGGGCGTTGGTCGATGTGGACGCGGGCACGATGACTGTTCATGTCAGCACACAGTCGGCGGGGGCGGCGCCTGTGATGCCGCACTCTCTGCAGTGCACAGAGGCGCGTGTGCTGGTGGAGCGGTCTTTGATGAGGCTGCTGACAACCGCCCGGATGGAGGTGCGTCGTAGGCCGCATGGCCAACAAGGACAAGGGGAAGAGGAAGAAGCGAGGGAGACGGGAGACGTGGTGCAGGGGGAAATCCATGACGAGGCCCCAGCGGGTGAGGGAGGAGGGTGAGGGCAACAGGCAGCAGAGCCAGACCACGAGTGCCCTGCTGACGCCCCTGTAGATGTCGCGGTGTGACTACGTGTCAAAGGCGTCCTTGGAGGGGATCGTATTGCTCCGCGGGGAGGTGCATGTGTTTGTGTGTGTGTGGCACAAAATTTTTAAGTGATGCGCAGCTATGAACTATCACATGTTTAGTGCGCCTCTGCCATGTTTTCTTTCTTTCATGTTTTATTGGTATCATTATTTGGTTTTGTTATTTTTCTAGACCTGCCGGTGTGGGTGTTGCTGTGGCTGTTACTACACCCCACTACGACTACTACTCCTCCGCCTGCATTTAGTCTCGTGTGTGCGTCACGGGTAGGGTGGGGTAGTTAGAGAGGCTGGCGTGGGGCGCAGTCGCTCAAACATGTACGAGTACGACGACCAGCAGTTCAAAGAGGAGGCGTTGCGGGTGAAGGCTGCTGAGGTAATTCAGAAGCGCTGGAAGGAGTATGCCGCTCGACGCGAGGCCGAGGCGGAGACGTGGCGCGACAAGGCGGTCCATCTCGGTGCTGCTGCTGCCGCCGCTGCAGCCGCCGTGGTGGCCGCAAAAGAGGAGGAACCCACGGCTGCCGTCAGCGTGACGGAGGAGCCGCAGCGGCTCCTAGCGGAGTACACCCGTCTGGTAGAGCAGCGCAAGGCTGTGGTGGAGCGAAGCCTCTCCTGCCAGCGGCAGCTGGCGCGACACTTTGCGTTGCAGCGGCAGCGGAAGGGCGAGGAGCGGCCGCAGGCGGTCTCGCCTGAGGCAGAGCAGCAGTACTGGCTGGCGGTGCGGCAGATGCGGGACGAGCAGCAGGTGGTGCAGAGCCAGAAGGATGCGGCGGGGGCACTGCTGTCGGAGATAAAGCAGCAGCATCAGAGCACCATTGACGCGGCGCTGGCGCAGGAGGAGGAGTTCCGTGAGTACATCAAACAACTCGCCCAGGAGTCGGTCTTTGTGCGCACTCACCGGCAGCTTACGGCGGAGGAAATTGCGGCATTCCTCGAGCGGGATAAGGATCAGCGATTCAAAATCCGGAACGCCCGCATCCGTCACCTGCTACTCTGCCACGATCTGGAGAAGCTGCAGCGAGCCGCTGCGCAGCGGGATCTGCAGCAGGACGGTATGAACCTCATCGACTTTGAGCAGCTGAAGATTGAGAACACAAACCTGAACGAGAAGATTGAGGAGCGCAACGAGGACCTGCTGAAGCTGCGGCGCAAGGTCACCACCACCATTCACGTGCTCACCCACGTGAAGGAGAAGCTGGAGTTTATGAAGGTTGAGAATATCCAACTGCGGCGGCAGGTGTCTACGACGGAGGAGGAACTCAACGAGCTTCGCGACAAGCTGGCACAGACGAAGCGGCGCCGCGACCATTTCGCCACCAGCAACATTAAAATGCGGGAGAAGATGCCGATGGTGGGGTCCGAAAAGCTCCTCTTAGACTACGAGAGGCGTAAGGCGGCGTGCAAGGCGATGCGGCAAGACGTCTTGGACAACGCCGCGAAGCACAAGGAGCTGCTGGCGGCTATCGACCGGAATCAAGTGGTGTTAAACGGCCTGCAGAAGACGCTGGCGCTGGGCAACCCAGCGAATGTGGGGGTGGCGCAACTGAGGGCGATGACGTAGTAACACCGGCAGGTGCGGAAGTAGTGGGTTGCCGGCATGACAGTAACACGAGATGCTCTGTAGAGACAAGAGAAAGGTGCATACAGAGAGAGAGAGAGGCCGGTGACACAATGTACAGTGGTGGTATGAACTTGCAGAAATGCATGTCCTCTCTTGGAGAGACTCGCATGCCACCCTCTCCTTTTATTCCTTCGTTACCCTGATGTATTATTTTCACTCCTCGCTCTCGCTCAGTCTGTGTGTTCTTCCGCCTTTGTTTTACTGTTCCTTTCGTTGTTTGTTTGTTTCTTCTCCTCCCTTTGGCCACCCATTCGCCTTTCAGTCCTCTGTGACCACGTTCAAAGATATATGTTGGCTGCCTTTTCGGTTGGCAGTGAAAATGCGTTTGAGGAGCGGCAACAGGAGCAGCCTGTGCTTGTCCAAACTATCCGCACTGCTGCGATGCCGGCGGACGCAACACCGCTGGTGCGTTTTGTTGTGGGCGCGGCTGTGCTGGGCACCGGCTTTGTGAGGCCCATCACGTTCTTTCCCATCATGACGACCATTAAATCTACCGACTCGAGTAAGCACGCGGTGCCGGATGTTCCGAAGGGACCACATGAGGCTCAGCTGGAGCACGGAATACAACGCTGCCAGTGGGCCGCCTCCTCCTCGGCGCAGGTGGATCGCCGCTACAGCGAGCTGGTGGAGTTTCGCACGCTACTCGCCTACCAGTTTCCCACCATGATTGTCCCGCCGCTACCGCCCAAGTCAAAGCTTGAAAACTTTGGTACCTTTTTAACCAATGAGAGCATCCTACTCACGCAGCAGCGCACACTGGTGCGATTTCTTCGCGAGCTTGCCGTGAACCCCGAGCTGGTATACTTCTCTGCGCACACCCCACATTTCTTTCAGCTGCCCCGCGAGAGTTTTGAGGACTGGATCAGCATCATGCGATCCGCTCTCGCGGGGTTTCGCCAGTGCAATGCCTCCATCGACGCCCACAGCTCACGCAAGGGTGGATTGCTGGGCTCCGAGTCCGTCGCCGCCTTCACCGGTGAGTCCACTAAGGTTGTGCGGAAGCTTGTGGGGATGCTGCATTCATGGATGGGCGGCGGCGGGGAGAGTCCCCCAGCACAGCAACCAAAACAGCAACAGCAAGGTCGGAAGTTGGCTGGCAATAAGGCAGCTTGCGCGGAGGTACTCAATACGATGGAGGATGTGAACTACTGGACCTGTGAGATGCGCTTTCTTGGGGATTACCGTGAGGCCCTGCTCGGGGCGGCGCGTCCGTACCTTGCTGTCATGGAGCAGTCGGTGGAGACCGTCACCGCCACGAAGGAGGTGGCGGCGGCGCTCGAGAAATACGCCAGCGTCCTCGGTGTCTCCTCTGCAAATAAAGACCTTGCGCAGGTGACGCTGGAAGCTGGACGCTTCTTTGACGTGGCCGCCACTGCAATGGACCGGTTTCAGGCCAAAAGGAAGAGTGGGGTGTACGAACGACTACTCTTTGAGGTTTCGTACCTTGACGCCGCGATGGACACGATTGACCACGTGCTGTGCCTCTGGCGTTACTGTGACGAACTCGTCGGGGCGCAGGCGTCTGCCGCCTTTGTCACCTACACAAGGAGCGTGAGCATTAAGCTGCGTAAGTTTTATCAGCAGCGATTCCTGCGCAACTTTAAGTGCCGCATGCAAAACGTGCTGCAACGCATGGTAGAGGCGGAGCACCACTATGTGGAGGAGGTGGAGGCGAGTATGAAGGACACCGCATTCGCCGGGACCATAAAGAATCCAAAGTACGCGGAGTACGTCTCAGGATCCCCGCTTGAGCCGGGCAGCCACAACTGACGTGGCGTGCGTGTGTCATTGGGGTGCAAGGCATGAACAGGGCGCAACGAAGCATGAAGCGGGGGCGCGGTGCGGCAGGTGTGTAGCAGCCATTAGTGATGTAAGAGGAAGGGGAAAAAAAGATACACACACACGCACACACAGGCGCATGGTTGTTGGTGGCGGTGCTTTTGCGGCGGGAGCTTGATGTGGATGACTGGAGAGGCGCACGGGAAACCGGGTCAGGAGGGCAGGGGAGGCAAGGCAGCGAGCGCGGTAGTGAAGGGGGAGCGAACGAAACAGAAAAAAGAAAAAAGAAAGGAAACAGAAGAAAGAAAGGCTGGCGAGGGGTGGTGCCATTATTTTTGCTGCTTGTGGATCTGCCTGCTGTGTTTGCCTTCCCTTCTCCCTCTCTTGCACTCTCCTTTTTTTTTAAAAAAAAAAGTTTTGTGTTTTGTTTTACCGCAGCCGGTGAATGACGGAATGTCAAAAAGGAAAGAAAATTGGAAGAACGCCGCAGCGGCGCGAAGATGGCGGAGGGGAGTTCTCCAGGCGTGTAGGCAACAGAAGTGTAGAGGGGAAGGCGACATGTTCACCGCCGCACCTGCGTTGACGCCGCTGCGTAGAAGCCGTTTGACACGTTTTTACATTTTTCCCCCTCTTATTTTATTATTGTTCCCTTTTTTTTTTTCTTGCTGCTGCCAGTGTGTGTGTGTGTGTGTGTGTGTTCATCGATGTGCCCCCACTCTCTTCCCCCCTTCTCTCTTTTCGCTGCCTGTGGGCGGTGCAGAAGAGGAAACGATGCGCGTGCCCTTCGCTCTCACATTCTCTTTTTGCTGTGGGTGGGGGTGGAAAGGGAGGAGGAAGTAAAGCAGCTATGGCTGACGAGGGCACCAGCACGGAGGCGGCACTGCAACTTGACCCGACGAGCCGCACGTTTGACCCAAAGGCGTACATCCGCCACGCCCACGCTCATGTGAGGCATGTGGACATTGAAAAGAAGCTTTTGCAAACCGTAGGTCACGAGGTGGAAGTCGCGGAGGAGGCGATGAAAGGGCTGATCCGTGACAACATGGGGGCTTTCATCAGCTGCAAGGAGGCGATGGACGTGATGTACGCCAACGACACCTCACTCTTCACGGGGGAGGCGGTGGACCCTATTGCAGGAGCGTTCAATGCGCTGCTGGAGGAAGGGGAGGCGCTTATGGCACCAACCGTGGAACTTTTTGAGGAGCTGCGCAGCTGCAGGCTCACGAAGGAGATGCTTGAGAAGCTTATGGTGGTCTGGAGTGTGCCTGGCGCCATTTACGAGTATTGTGGAGCGCGTGTGCCGCAGCGTCAAGGCAGCCAGGATCGGCGCATGAAGGGGGAGGCGGGCGCATCGAGGAATGCGGACGGCAGCTATGGCCATAGCAGCGATCACGCAGAGGAGGGGATGAGTGAAGTGGCGAAGGATAGACGTAATCTTGCCGCCGGGGACGGCAGTCTACCGCGGGGTGTGCGAGGCGCCCTGGAGGAGGACACAGACAGTGCTGACTCAGGCGGTGACTACGTCCTGAGACCCGGTGAGGAGCTGATTCTCTGGCACGGCACCCCGCTTGCACTTCGGCGGTCCAGCCGTCAACAGCCCCGAGGCGAGGAGGCAGCGGGGGGGCGCAGCAACTACGAGGCAGCTGGGCTGAGCCTGCGCCGCGCCATGTCATACCTGGAGGAGAACTACGACCTGGAGCATGCGATAGTTCTCGGCGTCGAAACCGGTGACGACACCGATCAGGAGACGGAAGGAGCACGCAGCTCGCCGACAATGCAGAAAAATCAAAAGCAGCAGCACGCCGTCTTGATGCTGACGTATCGCTACGCCTTGTCCCTCCTCCGTGCCGCGTTGTATCTTGGTGAGACGATGGCGCAGGAGCTGCGGCACGCCAGTGCCGCCGACACGGTACTCATTGAAGACACCCTCTCGTCGATGATGGACGTTGCCATTGCAACGGTGAAGCTGCGCCACTTCTGCTGGACTGTTTACAATAAACTACGACCTGACGCCCCCCACGCCCTCGCTTTGTCGGAACTGCGGCAGGAACTGCAGGAGAACAGCAGCAGCAACAACAACAACAACAACAACACCAACACCAACGTCCATGAAGACGATGAGGACGACGCTGTGGAGTCGCCTGTCTTGATGTCGTTGCTTGGTTCCTTTGCTGAAACCGAGGCGAGCTCCAGCATGGTCACTGCAAAGCTGCTGCTGTCGAATGCCTCGAGCGAGCCAGGCAACCAGCTGCAGGGCAAGGAATCACAACAACGTCCATCCAATCCAGCGCAGTTGTTGGAGCACCCGGTGGAGTACTACGTCCGCATCACCAGGAACCAGCATATACGGATGATGGAAAGCGCCGCATTGAACATTGGCCGCGAGGCAAGCGAGTGGCAGATGAAGTTTATGCCAGGTGAGACGACTGCGGAAAGCGCCTGTATGCGCGAGAACGGCAGTGCACCACGAGTTGGGTGGTTAGATTCCATTACAGCGACCGGGGGATTGCTTGGCAACGCCGATGCCTCGTTTGTGCTCTGCAACACAGTTGGATTTAAACCGATGGAGTCTATTGCGCTGGCAGCGGGCACTGTAAGTGAGCGCATCAAAGTCGGTGGCTTTGGCGTCGATGTGGCGGAGTCAAGTGAACAGCAGCACGCGGAGGCGATACTAGAGGCATTCCGCACCCCCGAGATGAATTTCTCGCGCTTCACGACGTTTAGCATCGGTCAGGTGGAGATGAGTGGAGTGCTGGAGTGCTCAGCCAGGCAGCTTGTGATGTGCAGTGCAAGGCTGATGCGGCAGCTCACTAGTCGTGCAGATGCCACAATAGACATTTCCACCTCTGTAGCCACTGTGGACACCTTCTCTGGTCGCCTCTTTGCAGCCTACGTGGATCACCTGGAGTTTGTGCTGGTGTCGTACTGGGGTGGTATTGCGGCCGCCGTGCACGCAGGCATGTTCGACTTTTCATTGGATCCCAACAGCGCGTTGTACCGCATGATGCATGGACCAGCGGTGTTGGGTGCCCCTGATGCTGCGGCGGAGACAGCTCTGGCCTCGGCGGCAGCTGCGGTACAAGAAATCAGCGTCGCAGTTAACAGAAATAAACGTGCGGAGGAGCTGCCGCGTCTCACGTATATTCCAATCGTACGGGAGGGGTCTCCGACGTTGCGGCAGCTCTCGGTGGAGCTGGTGCGACGGGGTGTAAAGACCACCGGGGAAATTCTCCATGCCCTCTTCCTCAGCAGCATAAACCGCACTTTGCTGCGGAGTTTTGTGCACACTATGGCTGCGTATCGTGTATCCGACGTCGTGAACAATGGGTGTGGAGAGGAAGAGGAAGAGCACGTCGAGCTTCACGCCGCCGTGCTTGTGGAGGTCATTCTCACGCATTGGGAGAAGGCCATGACGCACGTGAGTGACTCCGTGCGGCGCATGAAAATTGTGATTGGAGAAAGTTGTACCTCTGCCACTGTGGTGAGTGAGGTGCAGGCGCATGAGGTGGGGGAGTTGCTGGAGGATCTTGAACAGCTGCGTTCCAGCCTTTTTAGCTGCTACACGCACGGTGTCGGCATGCTGGCCAAGGCCTACGTGACGCTGCTGCCCTCGCTGCAGCAGACGACGCCGGCGATGAATGTCAATAAAACCGTCTCCGCCCGCGTCAGCCGCGAGTTCGTCTCATCGGTGCTGGTGAACAAACTTCTGAACCTGCTCTCCGTCGTGATCGACCGCACCGCACCCTTTCTGCAGCGTTTTGATGAGGTGTACGATGGCATTGACCTCTTCGCTGCGAAGGCAGAACGCGAGAGGCCGGAGGATGCCAACCAACAGAGGCAGGGCCACCGTGCACGCGTCCTGCGGCAGAAGCCTCAGGAAGACTTGGAGTGGCCCACGCAGCTTGACACCGTCACCACCTTCATAACCCAGTGCAACAGCAAAATGGTGCTTAAGCACGTGGAGGAGCAGGAGGAGATGTTGCTGGCGTTAGTGACGAACATCATGCTGGTCTTTGTTGACGCCCTGCACCAGAGGGCCTTACTTGGCGCGAGCAGCATCCTTGAGTCGCGGGAGGTGGTTCATATTGATGGCCTTGCGGATGTCTTGTGCCTTCCAACGGCAGTTGTGCCCATTGTGATTGGGGAGCTTGTGTCACCATGCATCTTGCAGGTTGTGGCCGCGCTCCGGACGGATGTGAAGACCGTGCAGGGGGTAGAGGCGTTGCTAAACCGCAAGGAGGAGCACTTCCGGGCCGACCACATCTCGCAGGTGGAGGATCAGTGCCAGCTGGTGGTGGATGCCATGCTCAGTATGCTTCTTGTCACACCGCAGCAACGCATCACGCGGGAGGTGCGGGCCTCAGGCTTCATGATGCCCATGATGGACTGGCAGCGTGTGTCGCTCCACACTGCCGGTGCTGTGCGGCCCTACGTCGCTGACAGTCTTTTATTGATTGTGCAAGCCCACGAAGAGCTGGAGTACCTGCGGCAGCCACTGCTCGCGGCGGTGGTGACGCAGCGGCTCGTGTCACACTTTGCCCTAACCTTCGTGACAGCGCTGACCAGCGATGGAAACGCCTTTGAGGTGTCACTCGACTGCAGCGTCAATTTTCTCACGCACGGTCTGCTGTTGATTGAGGCGGAGGCACGCACCATTCTCAGCGTCGCAGATACGCTCGCAGACAGTGTTATTCGTAAATCTGGCTTTGGTGCCGTAATACCGGAGCTGAACGTGGTGCGTGAGGTGCTGCGCGGTACTGTGACGGCGCTGCAGCGTCAAGGCACCGCCGTCTGCGAGGCCCTTGCGTCGCGCCAGGCACAACCCCCTTCCAGCGGCAGCAACGGCGGTGGTGTTGGTGAGGCGGGCGAAGCCATGACAGTGCGGCAGCGCGAGGCACGGTGTGCGGAAATGGTGCACAGCGCCATGCGACGCCTGCACTCTGTCGTGGAAGCCATTGTGACGCACGTAGACGACGCCACCGTCACGGCGGCGTTTAAGCCCCTTGTGGGCAGCGTCACCGGGAATGTTGCAGAGCGGCTGGCGAGGCGTAGGGAAAACTACCGTCTGGCGCATGCCGGGCGATCACAAGCAGAGAAGAAGCAGGTGAAGGTGGTGAATCCAGAGAGCAAAGCAGCATCAGTGGTGGCGGACGAGAAGGACAGCGGGGAGGCTGCAGCGGAGGCTACGACACGCTCCCGGCGGGTCATGCGAAAGCAGCAGCGGCAGCTGAAAATAAAAGAGGAGGTAGGTAGTGATGCCGTGCCGACACCGCGAGCGGTGGAGCACGCATCAGTTCTGCAGCGCGCGGCTGAGCAGGAGGTGAAACGCGCCAGAACCTCGACGGAGGTGCAGGGCAGCACGAGCGCGGCTGAGCGGAGCGCGGTGGATGTGCATCAACCGCGCGGTGGCGTGGGCACTGCGGGGCGCTCCGTGCGGGGACGAAGAGTCGTCCCGGAGGAAAGGGCGAACGGCTCCTCCACCGCTCCGTCGCCAGCGGCAGCGACAGGTAGGAGCGGTGGAGGAGCTCATGGGCATCGCTTCAAGCGGGCCCTCGCGCTGTGAAACCGACGGCACACCTTCCCCCTTCTCTCAGAGTATGTTCTCTGCCACTGGGTATTGACGGCAATACAGGGACACAGTTGTGTGCAGGACAGTTGCACTGTTTCTTTATGCTGCCCACGACGCCGCGTGAGGGAGGTATGGCGGTTGTGTTTTAACTACTTCTCTACGCGTGTCGCCGCTTTGGTTGACCTCGTCATTTCTGTGTGGCCCCTGCGTTGCACGCTCCCTTTTTTGGCGTCTGACTGCATTCACGAAGGGAAGTGTTCGCAAACGCAAGCACAAGCAAAAGGGAAAGCAAAGGAATAAAAAGGCGAAGAGGAAACCCGTACGACTACATACATGTCGAACTGCATCTTCTGCAAGATCGTGGAAGGAGCGATCCCGTGCCACAAGGTGGCGGAGACCGCCAGGGTGCTGGCCTTCATGGACATCAATCCCCTTTCCCACGGCCACGTGCTGGTGGTCCCCAGGGTCCACGCGGAGTTCCTGCATCAGGTGGAGACGGAGACGGCGGCGGAGGTGGGAGTGCTGCTGACAAAAATTGCCCGCGTCGTTGCCGAGGAGGGGGAGACGACGACACAGTACAACATCCTGCAGAACAACGGCAGGCTCGCCCATCAGGAGGTGCCGCACGTGCACTTCCACGTTATCCCGAAGCGCACGGAGACGGAGGGGCTCGGTATGCGCTGGAACACTCTGCCGACCGACCACGCCGCCTTCGCGGCGGAGGCGGCGCGGTACCGGCAGGCCCTGGAAAAGATATGAAAGGCCAAAAACATATGCAAGAGATGGAATCAGAAGAAAGAAAACTTTGGGCGTGCTTTTGCTGCTGTTATTAAATTTGTTTTTGTTTTTTTCTTTCTTTCTCGCGTTGTAAGACGCGTAGTGAAGGGAGGAGGAGGAAACGTGGGGAGAGTCTGGGGGAATGGGGGATCATATTGTCGTTTGCGTTGCTGCACCCCGTGCTGCAAAGCTAGAGGAGGTGAGGGGTGTAGGAAGTGACGAAATTAGGGCTCTGAGAATTGTTGCAGCATGCGTGTGTGTGTAGAGACATTTGCTGGGCGATGCCGGTGTTGGCCGCGGGCGTGTGCATCTTTGCTTTGCTTTGCTTTGTTTGTTTGTTTTTGTTCTCTTGATTCTCGTGTTGGCGGTTGGCTGGCAGCTTTCGCGCAGATACTTCCGCGCCGTTACATCCACGCAAGCGAACAACGGCAGGAGAGTGGTAAACAGCAGGTAATAAATAATAAGGGAAAGGAGTGGAACCCAAAGCTAGCAAGCAAATAAAAAGGGAAGAAGGAGGCTGCGTTGAGGGTTATTAAATCGAAGCGATGCAGGACAAGAAGGGAGGCGGTCGCAGCGCGGGTGGGGTGCGTCTCACAAAGCAGGACGAGAAGCTGCTGGATGAGCGCATCAACGCCAACACGCTGGTGTACTCAAAGCGGTCGTTAGTGGCGGTTGCCTTCATGGCGGCGTTCCAGCCCGTGTACCTGTCACACGCGGTGAATGGGCTGGATTGGTTTGTGCCTGCGAACCTGCTCCTCTACGTTGCTGTGATGCTCTTCACTGTCTACATGCTCACGCAGGCGTACATGACGATGGTGGAGAGCGAGTTCTGGCGCCGCCAGCGTCACTACAACGAGGTGCGGGAGTGCGACGGGAAGCTGCTGCAGAAGCTGCGGCTGCAGGTAGCGGTGGGCTACACTCTCTTCTTCGTCAACAGCGTCTTCTCCATCGTCTGCACGGTGCTGCATATCTACATCTTCCGCCAATCGGACCCGCGCGCCAGTTTCATCATGTCGCCCACAGTAACTGCGGCGCTGCTGTGGCTAATCGCGCAGAAGAACGAGGAGAGCCGCCGCCGCATCATGGCCCAGCACAAGTAGGCAGGAGCGAAGCACAAAGACGGGGGACGGGTGCACGGCCTGGGACGTAAACTGCAACGGAAGCACGCATACACAATGAAAAGGGCTGCCAAGCCAAAAACAACAACAAAAATAAAAATGAGAATAGAAAAAAAAAGAGCGCGCGAGATGTCGCTTGAGGAGGAAAAAGCGCATGACAATGGCACACAGGAGCCGTGCGAGGGCAAACGTGAAAACAAACACAGCGCAAAAAAGAGGGGACGAGGTGGGAAAGGAAATCAAAATGTGGGGGATGATGAGAGGCCCAACACGGCAGGGAGTGCAGGGCAAATATGCGAGAGGCGGAAGACGGCGATAAAAAAGAGGATATGCTTTGTGTTTTGTGTGCGCCGCCGCCACCTGTCAGACAGGTATGGTGCAACTCTCTCTCTCTCTGTGTGTGTGTGTGTGTGTGTGGAGGGGGTGCGTTGGCGTTGCTTTCCCGCCTTACTGCCGTACGCGGGCAAAGCGGGGGTGAAGAAGAGAAGAAACGGAAAAAGGAAGCTGCGGAGAAGAGGGGACGAGGAGCTGAGGGAAAGAGGGGGTCTGCGTGAGAAGAGGGATTTATCATGATGTTTTTTTTTGTTTTTCTTTTCCGTCATTTTCCCTCTCTCTCTCTCTGTGTGTGTGCACGTGCGGACCTGGCACAGCGGTGTGTTAAAAGTGCCGCGACGACTTTTGGATGTTTTTTTTGTTTTTGTTTTTCTGTGCGTTTCCTTCAGTCGCGCTGTCTGCCACTCCCTCGCGCTTCGTCACTACTGCCGCCGCCGACGCCAGCTTAGATGGGTGTGGCTGCCGCCTCCTCCTCCTCCTCCTCCTCTTTCAACCCCCGCACGCGTCCTCCCCTCGCTGAGGTCGTTGCCGGTGTTTTTATGTATTATATTATTATTCGTACTTCTATTGGTTTTCTCGCCTTCATTTTGCGTTGCGCGCGGCACGGTGGCCGGCAGGATAAGGAGTTCTTTGCGTACCTCTGGCCCTAGAGTTACCCCCCCCCCCCCCACACACACACACACTAGAAGCAGGAAGAAGAGAGGTGGGAAGGCTGGGTGGCCGATAAAAGGGTAGAAAGAACGTGTACTTTGGCCATACACACACGCGGGTGTGGGTGTACAAATATAGATAGCTACATAACTGTGTGTGGGTGCTTTGGGTGCAACAGGCGATAGCGAGGGAGAGGGAAAGTTCTGCGACGTGCCCGCATGGCGCTTCAACACTTTGCGTACAGCATGTCTCCGAACAGGAGCATTGGCGTCCTCGTGGCCGCCAGCTTCGCGCCGTTGACGCTCCGCGGCTGCGCCGTGGAGGTGGAGGTGCGTGGAAACTGTGCGCGTGTGAATGTGCGCTACGAGTACGACAACCACACCGGCAAGGACCAGCGCGTGATTGCCGCCTACCCACTTCCCACCACGTGGGATCTCATGGGATGCCGGGCCGACTACTTTGGCGACTCTGTGCTAACAGAGTACGCCCATACGGTGCCTCTGCGCTCCTCCGCCGAGGCTGGCGTCGCGGGGCTGCGGGGACCCATGTCCGACCAAACCATGTGGACGGTTGCGTCGCAGCAGCTGCCGTGGGTCGTTGGGGTTGGCTCGACGGTCCTTATCGGCGCGACGTATCACGTGCCGCTCGACGTGACGCGGTGGTACGGTGTGGTGCGTATCCATCTCCCAGCTGAGCTGTTTCCCGAGGTCAAGGCGCCACCACCGACCACGTTGGACTATGCCTCGCTGTTTGACATGAAGGTGCCGGCGAGGCTTCCGCGTGGGCAGACCATTCAAGCCAAATGTGACATGTTTGTGCCTCTCTCAGGCGCCGTGCGAGTGCGGCCGGTGGACGCGGAGCCGCAGACGCAGGTGGATTACATCGGTGACAGTGGCTTCTTACTGAAATACGCGGCACCGTTTACAACGCAAATGCGAGACGGGTTTGAAATAGGGTGTGTCGTGCATGGAACGGCAGAGCCGCTGCGTTTTTTCCTTGCCAAAGACGTTGGTGCACTCGTGCAGGACGTGGACCGCCATGCGCTGACCCTGATGTTCACACCGCATCTTGAGGAACGGCGTGGCTGCCTTACAAACGCCGAGTTGGTGCTGGTTATAGACTCACACAGCCACCAGTCGTGTGAGGCGATGGCGTACGGTATTTCGGTCGGCCTGCGTGGTTTGCCCGACTCCGTGTTTCTGAATGTGGTGGTGGTGGGCGAGAAGAAAGATGTTTGCCCCTGGCAGCGCGGCGCCGTGCCGCTGCGTGAGGTGCAGTTTGACAAACTTGCCGCCTTCATCGCGGAGACAAAGCTGCAGGCTGCCAAAACAGGCGCTTCGCACCTGCGCCGCACCCTGCGTGAGGTGATGTCGCAGGAGGCCGTTTCGCTCTGCGGCCCCGTCCCGGTGGGGTACGTGCGCCATGTGGTTGTGCTCTCTGACGAGGGCGACTCACGGCATGCGACGGAAATCATTGAGATCGCGACGCGCCACCGGCACAACTTGTGCTTCAGTGCCGTGGGACTACGCTCTCCAGGGACGCTAGATGCGCCGACGCTGCGGCTGCTTGCGGAAGAGGGCGGAGGCTTCTACCGTGACGCGGCCGACGCCGCGGAGCTCCCAGAGGCGCTCGTGGAAGTTTTGTCGCAGGTAGTCGTTCCAACTTTGACGGATATCGTCATTCGCTTTGATGAGCCCGAAGTGCGCCTGTCGACTGGCAACAAGATGCCTGCGGTGGCGCAGGGAACGCAGCGCTTCGTGCACGGCCTGGCCCCTGCCTCCCTCGAGACATTGGGCGTCTACGTGACAGGCCGCGTCGGCGCCACCGTCGTAGAATACGTGGGGAAAGGCAACATGCAGGACGTCATCTTCACCTCCGAGGCGGAGCTCCACAACGCCTTCTCCATTGGCCTCTTTCACCTCGCCGCCGCCTCCAGCAGAGGGCGCTACCTCCTCGACACCCGCGGGGTATCAGCACTGACACTGGCGGAGATGGAAGAGGTCGTACGGCTCTCCACTACATTTTTGCTGCCATCGCCGTACACAGAGATGCTGCAGCTGCGACCCACCGTTGATGCACAGGCGCAGACACCTCGCAGCGTCGTAGCGATGCGGTACGTGCCACGCAGCTGGACCTATGCACAAACGATGAAGCGGTACCGACGCCAGCGGCTCGCGGACGGTCTTATCGATGGCCGCCCAACGCCGCTGCAGAGCGCCACACAACAACAGCCTCAGCCGATGCGGACGCTGCTAGGGGTCTTCAAGACGTCTGGTGCTTGTGCCGCACTTGTGCGGCCGCCTACGTCTAAAGAGTTTATTCGCGCCATCGTTGCCGAGGTGGCGGAGTCCGTTGTCGCCGGGCCTAGCCTCGAGCGGCTTACCGCGCTGCAAGCTGCCGATGGCTCCTTCCCGTTGAGCCCTCTCCTTGGTATCAGCGTTGGGGTGTCGCTCGACCGGCTGGAGCGCGAGTTTCCGCTGGTGAGCTTTGGCACCAGCGAGGACTTCACAGCCGGCATGGAGTACCTGCGGAGCCACGAGCGTTTTTGGGCCACCGCGATAGCGGTTGCGGCGATGGAGCTTCGGTCCTTCGCCATCACAGCCATGGCGTACCGGAGGGCGCTGTCATTCCTGGGTTCCCATGACGACAAGGGGGAGCTGCTGCATCATGCGCGGGAAATGCTCAAGCAGCCGCCCTCTGTACCGTGTGAGTGAAAGGGAGAGGAAATCGGTATACAAAAAGGAAAGAAGGAGAAAGGAGGCCGCACACGCGCGCAGAGAGAGAGAGAGAGAGAAAGAGAAAGAGGAGGGGGTTCTTCACTCAAGTTGAAAGAAGTGGGAAAATAATGCTTTCTCTGAGTAAATGTGTGATTGAGTGAATTTTCGCCCTAACTCTGTCGTCGCGTTTATGCTGTTACTCTGCACCGCCCAGTATGGCAGCCGTGCTCCACGACGAGGCTGAGATGTCATTCATCAATGCACACGCCCTTTATGGGCTTATCTTTTTTGTTCTACTCCCCACCTTGCTGCTGCTGCTGCTGCTCTTTGTTGGTGATGCTTGTAGTGCGAGTGAGTGGTGAGGCCAGCGGCAAGGCGGCGGGTCATGTACAGAGTGTTTTGTCTTTTGGTGCACGATATTTTCGATGTTAAATACTGTACGCATACATGCAAGCGTGGATGAGGTGGGGTGGATGCACGTCTCTCAGTGTGATGCACGTATGCTTATCACCTTGCAGTGGAGACACGTTTGATATATCCCTATGGATATGTTATTCTTCTCTTTATCTCTCTCTCTTTCTCTCTCTCTTTGTGTGTATATATATATATATGTTTATTTTTCTCAGTGCATACGTATTTGACTTCTGTCACTGGAATTCAACAAACATTTAGCTCACGCGTTTAGGTTGCACCTGCCGCACACTGCAGGTCAAATTCAGACGGGACTGCGTTATGCTGCTTCTGCCGCCACAGGGAAGGAAATACCAACAAATACACCGTCCAATACTTTCACAGTGGCCAGTAGTTTAAAGGCGCGCTCCTCTGCAGTATATGTCATCGCAAATGCATCTTTGCGTATTGCCTTGTTGCTGAAGGTGTGCTGCGCTAGTGGGCTACGACACTGCATGCCTCTCATGTGTCGTCGTTGTCCTTTTGCCTTTTTTTTTTTTTGCATTCCCGGTGCCCTGCCGTTTCTGTCGGGGTGGACCTTTTTGTGCTTCCTGGGCGTTGCCGACCGTTCATGTTTGGTCGTGGATGATTCAGCGCACGCAGCCGCTGGCCCCACTCTTGCCGGCCTTTCCGTTCGTGTGGCGCACACCTGTTCGTTGGGAGGCCACGCGACGGCGAAAGGACGGTGGGCTCCCAGCGGTCGTGTCTGGTGTGTGCTTCATCCTGTTTGTTTGTTTCCCTCCCTCCCCCTCCTCCTCCTCTTCTTCACCCCTCCACTGGGCCGCCGATTGGTTCCCCCTGCAGCCGAATGCGATTACTGCCGTGTGCTATTTTTTGTAGTTTGCCTTCGCCGCCTCCTTCCAAGGCACTGTCTAGGTGTGTCTGTACTTTGAAGCTGAGGCCGATGCTGCGGAGGATGCGGTGGCCGCTCAAGGGCTCTCGGGTTAGGCGCGTCTTAGCCTACTCGACTCGACTCAGCTGTTTGCTCCTGCTATTGTGGATACTATGGTGCATCCTCGCCACCGCACCCCTGAACGGTGGCAGGGAGGTGGCACTGCCGGGGCCGCCGGGCGGTGTTTTTGCCCCTTCGCATGAAGGCAGTCTTAGCGGGCCTCAGCTGTGGAAGAGATCACGCAGCAGCGCGTCGGACGGTGGCTCGTTTGCTGGTAGGGGGCCGGAGTCAGCGGCGGTGTGTCAATCCTCCGTTTGCCGCTTCTGTGATGAGCTGCAGCTGAACAACACACCGGACGTCCTTCACCCCTCAGTGCTGGAGTACCTTCGCCGCCACGTTCTGATTGGGGTTGTCACAGGCTCGTATGAGAAGTTTTTCCGCGTTGACGTAGGCCTCTGCACGTGGCTAGGGCACGTGCCCGCAGCCAATCTTTTTGTATTTACGGATGCCGCAAACACGTCCGATGGGCGGCACGGCACGTGGGTAGAAACTGATACCGCCCCGGCCTCTCAGCGAATGCAGAAGGGGATGCTGCGGCGCACGGGGTACTCCGTGGGGTGGATGCGGGCGCAGTATCGTTTTTTTCACGCCTTTAGCTACTTTGCCAGGCTTACTGGCGTCGGATCGGAGGTCAGCAAAGGCACCGCGGCGTACCGCGAGGTGCGGTGGGTCATTGTCGTGGACGATGACTCGTTCCTTGAGCTTCGCGCGCTCTCTCGATTTTTGCATCGGCGAGACTTAAACGAGGTGGCCCGCATCGCTGCAGGCGTGGAGGCCCCACTGCTTTGGGAGCGGTGCAACCGACCCTCTGGCGCCCGACTGGAGGACGTGGCTGCGTGTCTGTCGCTACCGGAAAGATGGAGGTGTCTGCAACAGCAACTCCATGGAGGTGATTTGCTGCATCCCGGGAGTCCGGCGCTTGTGGTTGGCAGTGCGTTGTGGAATGCCACGATGCACACGCTCCTTAACCCTGCGACGGCTGCCGCGCTGGCCCCGCTGTACGTTGGAGATCATGGGTGGGGCGGCGCCGGGCACTTTATGAATATCGCGGCGCTGCGCAACTACGCCCAGAAAGGCGAGGAAACGTGTGTGCGGCGGTACCTGATAGGCAAGCAGCTGGCGAGTGACACCGCGCTCCACCGTTGTATCCCCCTGCTGGGCATCCATCGCGGCAGTGACGCCGTACTGTCGCACTGTCAGGCCCGATACCTGCGAGAGCGATTGCTACATGGTGAGCTGGTCAGCATGCACGCAAAGCGAGACATGGTGCAGCCCACGTATCTCGCCATGTGGCGGATGCGATTGTACTACCAGGTGTTGTATCACCGCAACCGCACTGCCTACGACCTGTTGATGCGTGTGGGGGCATGCGCATACGGCTACACGTGCAAGCTGCGCAGCTGCAGAGCCGCCGAGGATGCAGCGGCTCTGAGCGAATTTGCTCGTCTGAGCAATAACGCCACTCGCATGCCTGCGCTATAGGAGCCGCTGCAATTCAACCTCCCCTCGTGGCCGCGTCACCACGGAGTGCATCGGCAGGAGAGGGGAGAGAGTGGGGGGAGAACGACGACCCCCCCCCCCCTTCCCATGTGCTTTCCCCACCCCCACCCGCTTTTCTTTGCCTGTCGTGGCGTGCGCCTGCAGCCTCTTCTTTCCCCTCTTCTTGTTGTTTCCGTTTTCCTCTCCCCCTCTTCCCGCCTGTTTGTTTTTTGGTTTTGCTGGAGCCCATCTGCCTGCCGCGTTTATTTGCCCCTCCTACTGTTCCCTTTCCCACCCACTTCGTTTCTCGTTGCGTGGCGGCGCCGCAGAAGCCTAGCACGGAAGGGAGAGAGCGAGAGCTAAAAGAACACAGACAGACAGAGAGGGAGTGGGAGTGACCGTGTTTCTGTCTGCCTGTGTGAGTGCCCGCGCCCGCCTGTTGTGTTGCCCTACGACCCACCCGTCTACGCAGGGGGAGACCGGCACAAGCGCATTGCGAAGGACGTTAAGCAAGCAAGCGGAGACATCTGCGAGGAATTGAACAAAAAATTGAAAAATAAAAAAAAGGAAGGAAGAGGCTCAGGAAACATTAGTACCGGCCAAGAAAAAAAAAAAGAAATAAAATAGAGACCGGCGCCAGCGCAGTCAATTGCTTCACGCATCGCCGCAGCCCCCGTGCCTCTCACGCACGCACGCGCCTCGTCCAGGACACAGCAGCGGGGTCTCCGCCGACGTTTCTGCCGCGGTGTGAGCCTTTGGCCTTTACGCCACCAGCAGTTTTTTTCGTACCTCTTTTTTGTTTTCCTCTTGATTTTCTTTTGTTTTTCATCTTGTGTTTGACTGCCGTCGGTCGTCTCGCAGAAATGCCAGAGGTGGGACTGGACCGGGCATTTCTGCATCGCTGCTGCGTGCAGGTGTCGTCAGCCCTCGCGGATGACGCCGCGGTGGCCGCAGAGACTCAGCACACCCTACGCTTCGTCCGCGACCACGCCTGTGACTACCCGGGGGAGATTACGCGGGCGCTCATCTGGCGCGTGGTAGACACCGACAACGACGAGGTGCAGGACCGTTTAGGTGCGTGGTCAGTGCTCAACGCCGTGCTTGCCGAGTGCGCCGACGTCAAGCAGCCGCTCTCCACCACCGCGGTGGCGGAGAAGATTAGCCTCTTCCTGCCGTACCTTATTTCCTACCGGTGGTTCTCACTCCGTGGCGTGTCGCAGGCGAATGTGGCGCGTTCGCAGTCGACGCTTGCGATTCTGAGCGAGTACGACAAGGTGGTGCCGGCCTCTGTGCTCACCGGTGACGATTTCCGCCTTGGTGATGCGAGGAAGGAGCACGAGATTCAGGCCAAATACCGGGAATTTCTGGTCACCTGGAAGGTGATTTGGCGTCACGACGTCTACCAGCGCTTTAAGGAGGCCGTGCGTCAGACGGAGGCTAGCGGAACCCGGCTCTCGCCAAAGGATCAGCCGTACCTCGACATTCCCGCCACATTCCGTGATAGTCTGCGCCGCCTACGCCGCCGCAACCCGCGCCCCTCCATAGCCTTCCACGTACTCAGCTGCTACGGGTGGGTGCCGCCCAGTGAGGCCCCTGCGACACCATTAGAAGCCATGCGAGGGGCGAATGGCGTCAATGAGGGTCAACTTAGCAGCAACAACGACTACGTTAAGAGGTGCCCAGCAGTGCCGGCAAGCGTCACGGAGATTGAACGAATCGAGCCCGCCGCCCACCCACGCGTGCGTCAGTGGCTGCGAAAATTAGTCGAGGCAGGTGGTGGGTGTCGGTTATGCGACGTGTGGCAACACACGGAGGCACGCTGCCCTTGTGAGCTGCCGTTTATCAAAGTTCCTCTGCTGGAGGGAAATCCGCACCTCAACTACCACCGCCGTCGGCGGGGGGTGGAGCGGCCAACCTTGACCTACCTGGAGGCTGTGGAAAAGCTGTTTCGCTACGGCATCAGACTTCCACTCTCATTGGAGAAGTCACTGGACCGCATCGTCTCGCTCATTGAGGAGGAGACGTCGTACGAGGAGTTTCTTGAGGCATTTGACACCGTGCGGGGTGCGGTGACAGGCCCCCTGGAACGTCACGCCCTATGGTTGCATGCCAGCTATAGGTTGAAGCCCTCGCGGACTGTCTTTGACAAGCCAAGCGATGACGCGCTTAGTCCCGCCATGGAGAAGGCGGAGAAGCACTTTAAAGTCCATCGCCGCTTCCGCGAGTGGGATCAACTGCTGCAGAGCGTTGAAGTGCTCGATAGCCAGTTCCGCCGCGCCGAGCTTTCGCCGGGGCTGCGCCGGAACATTGACGAGGTACGGGAGACAAAGTCCTTCTTTTTTTGTCTCATTGATGGGTCCCAAATGGCCGAGTACGTTCCTCAGTCCTACGCCCGTGTGCCGGAGGAGGTATTGCAGCTGCGACCGGTAAAGGATGTCTTGTGTACCGTCTGCCTTGAGCCGTTTCACGTGGCGGCGCGGTGCTCAAAGGGATCTGAGCCGTGGGACTTGTCTGTGGCCCGCGTCTTGTTGGAGGAGCACGGCCTGCTTAGCATGCGGTACCCTGAGGAGCGTTACATGTTCGACAACGCGCTCCGCAGCATTGACGAGGATGACCGAAAAGCGAAGGAGTTCCGAAAGAAGGAGCTCAGCTTAGCCGTCAAACTCGTGCACGAGGGTCGTGTGCCGTACTGCAGGCTCTGCAACATCATGGGCCACAGTATCCGTCGCTGCGAGGAGGGGGCACGCCGCACGCTGCACCGGCACAGCATTAAAGAAGTGGACATGCGACTTAACCCACACCTCGTGCAGCGCAAAATAAAGCAACTCCGAGACGCTCATGATGAGCGAGAAGGGAGGTGGCTCACGGAGGCGTGGGAGTTGCTGGGTAAGGGACGGACGTACCCTGACAGCTTCCTCAGCGCCATCCGCGAGCTTGAGGACGCCCGGATTCCGCTCGCGGCGGCGCGCTACAGCACCGACGCGGTTCAGGGTTTTTTGCTATTTATTAAGTCCAACGATCTGCTTCAGCACCTGCAACCACTACGCGACGAGCGGTTTCCGGAGGTGTGCCTTTTCTGTGACTCCTACCACCACGGCTCCGAGCTTTGCGACCGCGCCAACGCGGAGGAACGCGGCTTTCTCAGCGAACTGCGGCGGTATGGTCTGACGCTGTGGCAATACCTCCGCGCCCCGGAGCGCTACGATGAGCGCTTTCCTACGGACTACGCCAAGGGTCGGGAGACTGTGGTGGGGCTGGCGCGTCAGTTTGAGGAGGACTACAGCCCCGGCGGTATTGCGCGGGTGCGGTTTCTTGAGAACAACGGCCTGGAGGGCGACGCGACAAGTCCGGTGGCGGGCGGCGGCGGCGCGGCGGCGCGCGGCAGTTCGCAGCGCTCCTTCTACGGCGGCTCCTCCTACAGCATGTCCTTCTCGCAGCTTGTCCTGCACCCGGGTGAAAATGACGATGAGGCAGAGCGTCACGACAACGGCAATAAGGAGGCTGCCGCGGCCGCGATGACCCGGCATGGTGGCGTCAATGGCACCACAGCGGTAGACCCCCTTTTTTGGCCTCTTGGCGGCGAGGCGCCGGTGGCAATGCTGACGCCGGACCGGGCAAAAGCCTCGGCGGAGTCGTTTCGTGAGATAAACGGCGGCTACGGCGGCAAACGGGGCCGCGAGGAGGACGATGACTCGGTGCTGAGGTCCGGCAGCGGCAGCGGCAGTGGCGGCGGCGATGACGGCGTTGAGGAGGCGGAGGAGAACGGCGATCAAAATCTCCACGCTGACGACGGCGAGGCGGCCGCGGCAGGGACGGTGACAGAGACGCTGCAGGGAGGCCCCGATGATGTCAACGGGCTCGGCCACTTGGCGCAGCGCTTCCGGCTGGAACCGCCGAGGAAAAGCGCAGAGGCGTGACCCACCGGCTGCAAGGGGCGGCAGAGAACATAAAGGAGGAAGAAGGACAAAAAAAAAATATATAAGAAAAAGGCAGGAAGTGGTGGTAATTAAGAACGTCTGGCGAGAACAGCTAACAACGGAAGAAAAATAAAATAAGGCCTAAAAAAAAAAAAGAAAGCGGACGCACCGAGGGAAAGAGAGAGAGAGTCATGCATTCAAGTACCGGCGGCACAAACTGAAGAGCAAAACACAAAACAAAAACAATCGGCGCCTGGGTCGGTGAGGGCGGGAGAGAGAGAGAGTGATGGACGGTAAGGAGGGGCTCTCTGCATGGCGCTCCCTCTTTCCTTCTGCCCCTCGCAGGATGTACCGAAGACGCGAGGGGGTGAGTGGTGGACAAAATGAGGCTGCAGCATCGACTAAGTTTTTTTTAAAAAAAAATGGACGTTGTGACGGAGTCACCGCACTCACGGCACGGCACAGACATTTATAACGCAACGTAAGTGCAACCGTGACTCCGTGCTCCCTCGCCCGGGCAAACCGCAGTGCGATGTGGTGTGGGGGTGGGGGAGGGCCAAGCCACAGCCAGGCAGCGAGTAGGCCTGAAAAAAAAAAAGTGGAGGGGGGAGATGCAGTAGATGTTAAAGATCACAAGCAGCATACGGACACGGTCAGCTCATTTTTGCTCCCTCGCGCTGTATGTTCATATTCATCTATATATACGTATGCTGCGCCTCACTGAGAGGGAGAGTTGATAGGCGTACCAGTGCTGAGGGCACGGACCATTACTTCTTCTTCGTGTGTCACGTCAAAGAGAGGGACAACAAAACATCAACATGACGTGTCGTTTAAATTTTAAAAAAAAAAAAAGAGACTAGCATCTCTGATAAACTGACAACGAAACGAAAGTGAAAAAAAAAAATGGGAGAGAGGAGCGGAAGGGCCCACGCGCATTGCTATTTGCCCCACTTCCAGGTTATTTCCCGGGGCGCGTGTACATGTACATGTGTGTGCATGACGCCGGTAGTGCAGCCACCAGCTGCTGCTTCCACACTGCCTCTTTGACAGGGGAGAAGGCCGCGTAGCTTTTTTTCTGAGGAGGGAGGGGGCGGGGGATGAAATTTCGGTTGCCGGCTTTCGTTGCGAGGGCTGCTGCTTGGGGCCCCAACAGAAAAAAGGGGGGAGGTGGGGAAGGCGGTGCTTGCAAAAGATTTGGCGGAGAAAAACAAAGATCAAATAATTTTTTTTAAAAAAAAAACATGGCGCCGGCAGCGGGTGTTGTGCACCGCCCATCTTGTGCTCGACAAAATGATGCCCGGTGTCTCTCCTTCCGTCTCCTGCTCTTCCTCACAGTGGGAGTGAGGAAGAGGGGCAACGCACGCGTGCTAAGGGAGCGGGCAAAAGAGAGAAGGCGATGGGCATACATTTGCATACGCCTCGCTGTGTGCGTGTGTGAGTTGTGCGCCGCCCCGTCTGTTGTACCGCGTCTTCTTCTGCACCGTCCTCCTTCCATTCTGACTCCCCTGCCCTTCCCTGGTGGCTGGTCACGTCTCTTCTTGCCTCCTCCTCCTCACGTATTTCTGTAGGAGAACTCTCTATTTTTTTTTCTTTTGTTTTTTTTTCCGTTTTTTTTTTGCTTTTTTGTGTTGTTGTTGTTTTTTTTTTTTTTTTATTGCGTGTGTACGTGCTGTGGTTGATTTCCCCGGCGCAGGCGGGAGGCGGGTTTTCTTTCGTGCGCCCTTCCCTCCCTTCGCGTGCGTCTGCGCGTGGGGGTGTGGGGGGAGGAGGTGCGGAAACTTTTGTATGTACATCCCCCCCCCCCCCCCCCAAACTCTTTGTGTGTGTGTACCTCTCCCTCTCCCCCTTCTCACTCCCTACTCCGCGCCCTGCAGCTTGACAGCGGGAGGGAACAAAAAAAAAAAAATAGAGGGAGAGGTGGAGCAATGATCACTGAGAATGATTCCTCTTTCTCTTCCCCTCGCCGTGTGTGATATGTGCCCACACGCATGGCGAGGGTGTGCATGTATACATCACTAAGATATATTGCTTTTATCCAATTGCTGTTGTGGTGTGGGTAGCACGAGAGTGAGGACGGAGGATAAGCAAATGAGGAAGTGGTGACTGTTGTTGTTGTTTTTCCTGGTGTTGTTTGGAGGTGGTGGTGGTGTATCACATGAAGCCGTTAATGTGTGACTCCCTCTTTTTCCCTCTCCGTGCCTCTCCGTGCATGGTTGTGGGCACCGGAGAGAACGGCGGTGGACTCGGCACTCACGCACACCTGCCGACGTAACGCGCATGGGTTGCCCGACGCCACGCCGCTGCCCCACCCACTCACCCATCTTTTTGTTTTCCCCCCAGTGTGTCTGGTGGGCCGGGAGAAGTGGCGAGGAACGCCCTGAGGGGAGGGGGGGGGAGTGAATTAACTGAGAAGGGCGTCAGCAGGAACTGTTGGGCAGACAATACGCCTGCAGCAAGAGAGAGAAAGAGAGCAAGAGCAGGGGAAAAAAAAGTCTCTATGTGTGTAGATGCGCGTAGAAGAGGCTGGATCCGTGGCTTTGCGTTGCTGTGTTTTACGCGTGTGCGGCTGGTGTCGGCGCATTTCCGTTTGTTTTTTTTTTTCTCATTCCATTTGCCTCCCTTCGCCACACGGCTGTCTTGAGCCCCTGCTTGCTGCCTTTCCCTGCCTGGCTCTCGTCTCCTCCCCACCCGGCGTGTGCGCGTGCAATGGGTGACTGAATGGGTGCATACCCCCCTTCACCCGTAGAGAAAGAGAGGGCGTGTTGCTTGCGTGGGGGGGGGGCTCTAAAAAAAAAAAAAAAGTGCCGGACGCACGCACACCTTCGCGGCAATATACATTGGTATATATATATATTTATTTATTTGCGTGGCCTCTGCGGCTCACACGCGCGCACTGTGTGAGTGTGGGTGTCATCATGGCGTCACGAAAGTTGCTTTTGCTGGGAGGTACAGGCTTTGTGGGGACTCATGTGCTCCGCAAGGCCCTGCAGCGTGGATGGAAAGTCATCTGCGCCTCACGCGGCGGGCTGCCTCCGGTGGGGTCCCCACTTTTGGACGAGGCCGTGCTGCGGCACCACCACCCGCCAGAGCGGAACCCCACGGACGCTGCCGAGGGCATCGCGGGGGATATCACAACCTTTCATAGTCCCCTGGAGTTTGTCTCACTTGACGCCACAAGTCGATCGCAGGTGTTCCACTTCCTGGAGGACCATCCTGACGCCACAGCCGTTGTGAGTTGTATCGGGCACTTGTCGCGTGACCACGTCGAGGCTCGACGCATCTGTGGGGATGCAAACATCAATATTGCTGCCGCCGTGTATGAGCGCGGCCAAGGGGTGCGGCGGGTGGTGCTTGTCTCGGCTGCGCCACTTCATGAGTTCCTCCCTCTTCTTAGCAGCAGGTGGCTTCTTAAGGGATACTTCTACGGCAAAAAAATTGCGGAGCGGGCGGTGTTGGAAAACCTGGGGGATCGGGCGGTTGTGCTTTGCCCTAGCTTCATTCACGGCACGCGCTACGTACAGATGGGAGAGGGATTCATTCCGCTACCCCTCTGGCTGCTGGGGCGCCCACTGGAGGCCGCTCTGCGACCGCTGCACCGCGATGGTTTGCTGCTGCCTCCAGTGGACGTCGACGTCGTGGCGGAGGTGGTGGCACGCGCCATTGAGGGGCAGGCCCCTGTCGGGGTGTTGGACTACTACAAGATGCAGGAGCTCTGCAGGGAGCAGCCCCCACAGGACACCTCGGAGATAAAACAGAATTAGGTGTAGCTTTACACATCGTCGCATACATATATACATATGTCTGTAGTGGACAATGTCTCTGCGTAGTTGAGGAAACACGTGTACCCGGCGGTGGTGGTATATGAAAAAGGATTCTTATTGGATTGATGAATACATTGCAACGTCTACCCAGTCATCTCCCTCCACCCCTGTGTCTTTTTTGGCGCCGATTTATAGGCTAGCTTTTTGCGTCCCTCACTCCGTGTCATGCTATCAATGCCTTTGCACTTCTGCTGTTTTTGTTTTTTTTTCTTTTATTTTTTTGGTTTTCATGCAGCGGCGACGCAAGAAAGCCAAACCAGGGCACACGCAGGCACTCACTTTTACCTTCTAGATGCGTCGTCTGGTCCGTGTGGCAGCGGTGCCGTCTTCACTAGCCGTCATCGTTCGCCGGAGGAGTTCATCCGCGTGGATTGCTAGGCTTCTCTATGGCGCCAGAGCTTCTCCGCTTCTCGGCTCCTGGGACGTGTGCAGCAGCAGTAAGCAGCAGAAGCTTGACGACACGGCGCGGGAGCTGTACTGCAAGGCCCTTACACACGCAAGCGGGGGAGGGCGGTTAGCGCGGGATTGGATTGCCGGCTGCGTTGCCATTGTGTGCCCCTCAGATACGCTTCTAAATATTGCTCTCAAACACCCCGGGACGGAGCAGGACGTGGAGCGCTACCGCACGTACCTGCTCAGCACGCTCCGTAAGAGAATGCAGGAGGGGCCGAACGAGGGTGCCGGCGTGGGAGGCGGCGGCGCGGCCTCCAGTAGCAGCAGAGAGGCGGTTGTCAAGAGACTTGGAAGCATGCCGGAGGTGCGATGTTTTGTGTACGACGCGACGCGTGCGGCGTGCTTCCACCGCTACAATAAAGTGCCGGAGGAGGACCGGCAGCAGCTGGATGCCGTGGCACACCGCCTCGGCGTGGACGAAGAGGTGACTCGCGGCATATGGCGGCTCGTGGAGAGCGAGGGGGCCGTGGAGCGGGAGAAGCAACGTGCCCTCGACCACCCGTGGAGCGACTGAGCGGGACGACGCCCTTGACACCCGCCGCGTCTGCCCACGCGGTCCAACAACAAGAACAGAAAAAAGTTGGGCTGGAGGTGAGCAGCGGTGGGGAGGCACCTACAAAAAGAAAAGATAACTTTTGTTGGACCGCGTCGCAGATGCACACGCACATACATACACGTCTCAAACAAATGGTGTTTTTTTTTTGTTCTTTTCTTTTTTCTTTTTTTCTTTTTTTCTTTTTTTTTTTTTTT